CTTTATCATAGTTTCATTACACACTCTGTTAGGCAAATTTAATGTGTACAGGGTATTCAAAAAAAAATCGTATTTATATGGCATTTGGGCACAAAAATCGCTGCGTTTGACTTTGTCGGAAGATTCGCTGATAATTTGCGCACATAAATTAACCAAAGTTTTGCCACACACACACACACACAATCGCACACACACACACATGCACGCACATTAGCTAAGCTCAACTGTTGGCTTCCGATTGGTTTAGTTAGCCACATGGGAAAAATTAAAAATACTGCTAAATGCTTTTCGGCCAGTCCAAAAATGTTTTGTGTGCGTGTGTGTGTGTGTTATGGCCAGTTGTGAGTGCAGGCTCAATTTCGGTGGTTATATCCTATGCAATCTGTTAATTTTGGCCAACTTTGCTGTGGCTCCGTGCCGCTTTCCACCCACACTCCTTGCTGCTCGTTGGACGTTCGTCTTCATTGCGTATTGATGCGCCCTCATGTGAAATAATTGCCGCTGCTGTCCAATGGCGTTTAATAATACATCTGTGTGTGTGTGTGTGCGTGCGTGAGTGTGTGTGTGTGAGCAGAAGCCAGAAGTCATGCTGGTGTTGCTGTCAAGGCTATTAAGTTGTGAACTCAATGGCCAGACGGCTTAACTGGCTGGCTGGTTTTGGCCTGTATCATGGCTAAAGCAACAACGCTTTAATATCCCTTGGCTATTTTCTACTCGAATGGGAATTTTGGCCAATCGGCTAAACAGTTTATACGCATATGCCACTAAAATATTAAATGTTTGCCAATGTTTGGCTACATTAGCAGCAATAAGTTGTTGCTTATATAATCTGAGCAAGCTAAGACTTGTTAAGTTTCTTTAAATTTCTTTTAAATTGCGCATTAGATGGGTCATAATTTTTCTCCAGAAATCTGAACTCATGTTAAAATTGTAATTTTAATGATTCTAAATAGCTTTTCTAAATAATGGCGCTGCCATCTAAGTTAACAATGTGTCGTACAGTGGCGTAGGGTTTCCTTTTTGGGGAGGGGATGCATAAGCAAAAGTTTGTTGCAATTTTTGTAAAACCTTTTGATTATACTTATATATAGCTAAGCTCAACTTTTAACTTTGTTTCCCAATTTTTCTTTAGTATAATTGAAATCTACAAAAAAAAAGGAATAAATTAATAGCATAAAAATTAGTTAACATATTGAAATTATTTGAAAATTCACTTTATTTTTGAATAAACTTTATTTTACAATATTTTCATTAATTAATTGTATTTATATTAATTTGAATTAGTTCTTGACATGTACCATTTTATTCACTTGTTAGCTATTTATTTCAAAAAAGCCATTACACATATCTAAAATAATTTTTTAAATATTTATCAATTACCCAAATTTGCTCTATTTTGTTTTTTTTTTTTTTTTATAGGAACCAAAAAAGCTTTCATATTGAAATGTTTAATTTTGTTGCAATAAATAAAGGGATGCATTTTAAAATACACATGCTATATACTAAATAAATGAGAAGCGTTTTTTTTATTTTTTAAAAAAAGTTCTAAATAATTACAAATTATTTGCGAAATTATATTTTAATATGTTTAAACTGATCACAGCAAATTGTTCTGAATACCCAAAGAGAACGAGCGAAAAATATATGCAACAACAAAAGTGTTAGACATTTTTTTTCTTTCAATAGTTTTGTTTTTATGTACTTAGTGTAAATATTTCGAACTTTTCGCAATCAATATATGTTTTTTTGTTTTTTTTTTTTATTTTTCCCAAAATGTATTTACATTAACAATTTGTTTTAAATATTTTGCTAAATTTGAACCAAGTCTGGTGTTAAATCAATTTTATTTATTAAACACAACAAATATTTAACAAAGTTTTTTAGTATTCATTATTATTGTTGAATTTTTTAGAGTTCAATTTTGTTTTTTTGTTTTTTATTGAGTTTTTACATTTTACTTCATGAACTTAATACGAAATGCTGAGTTTCGGGCTGTGTGCCTCGCTCCAGTGTGAGTGTGTGTGTGTGTGTGTGTGTGTGTGTATAGCTGTTTTGTGTGTGTGTGTGTGTGTGGGTGCGTGTGTGTGTGTGTGTCTCTTTCGACGCTGTTAGTCGATCTGAAAACGTTGCGCCTAGAAAAAGTTTAGGTATTAGTTATGGGCGTGTGTGTATGTGGGCGTGTTTAATGTGGCTTTATGCTAAATTCTAAAATTAAATTTTAAACTAGGCAACAAATTGAATTTGTTGAGTATTTTCATTTTTCCCCATGATAATATTTAGTTTTGCTGTGGTGGGCCCTACGTGTAGTTGAAATGTAATTGAAATTTCTAGAGCTTGTTGGTTTCTTATTGTTGTTGTTGGGTTCTTGTTGTCTTTTTGGCATTCTGCTTACTACTTGCTAAACAAAAGTTTTGCTCTTTGAGTTAGTTGCCTTAAACTTAAAGGACTTGATAATAGGAGTTATTTATTTTTGTTTTTGTTGTTGTTGCTGCTGTTGTTATTATTGCTAAGAGCCAGCTGATGTTTATAGACGCTGTCTGCTTGGATATGTCTCATAATATATAAATGGCTTACTTGTGCTGTCTTTTAGACACATTCTGTGCCTCGAACTCGCAGCGGTGCCTGTGAAAAACAAGAAAAAGCATCAAGAAAAATGTTACAAACAATTTACAAGTGTTTTAAAAGTGCAAAAAGTCGCTTATACTATAACATAATGTACAATAAAATCAAAACTTTCAAATAAGAAAAATATATTTTAACATTTTGTAAGTTATATAAAAATAAAAACTTCAAAACAAACGTTGACTACTACTGCCTGAAAGCTAAGGAAAATATGTTTTTACAACTTTGAAGTTATATAAAATAATAATTTCAACATATAATAGTATAAAAATAAGATAGTAGCAAGACGATATGGGAATAACATTTATCTAAATTATAAACAAGAAACTAAATTAATATAATATAATTGATACATAAATATAAATAATAATAATAATAATTCAGCTAAGGCTTTTAAAGAAAACTCCCTTCAAACATTTATAAAAAATTATTATTAAAATAATTATTAAAATATACATAAATTAAAAATTAATAAATAATTGAAAGTGCATTAAATAAAGCTTATATTAACAACATTAATAAAAATGCACTTGTAATAACTAGAATGTAATTTATAACTACAAAACGGATCAAACTTATTATTAGCGCACAATGCAGCTTAAATAATTATAAAACATTTTACACATAAAAAAAATAATTTAAAAAAAAAAAACAAATGGAGAATTCAACAGAAATGTTAATTTGCTGTGATTTTTTGATTATGCAAATTTTCAGCGGCATTCAACCGCAATAGAAAATCTCGTCTAATGACATTTTGTTTAATTTGGCATAATTATGTTGTTGCTGTTATTTTTATTGTTGTTGTTGTTGCCGTTGAACAGCAAAATTAGGCGCTCTAATTAAAAATGGCAGCAGGTAGCCAAATGCAAAATTCAATTTAATTCAAATATTTTAGTAAATTGAACTGAAAGCTGGCCCTGAATATGGGCGGACATTTTGACGCTCCGTTGACGCATTTTAATTGGCCCCGTTTTCTTGTTGTTTCCATTTAATTGGCCAATTGATATGGAACATTTGGCAACCATTCAATTAGCCTGGCCAAAATGCCGTGTCAGTTAGTTTGCAACAAAAGAATTTGATCACAAAAATTGATAATAAATTAAATTATGAAATTATAAAATTGCAATTAAGCCTACCAAACGTGTGCATAATAATAATAAATATGTTTAAATCTGGTCATTTGTTAATTTATAAGCCCGCAAAACTTACCAACTATTCGCTAAATGAATAACTAGCTTTGCCTTTTGGCTGTGCTTTTCGCTTCAGCTTTTTGTTCGCTCGCAGCGTGAAAAATTCATAAATAAATATGTATTAAATACTGGCAACACTTTTTTTTGTTTGTTTTATATTTATGGGATTATGCACACACACACACACACACACACAACAGTGCATAATTGTCTTAATTTAATGTGAATAGCTTGTAATTGGTGTGGTTTAAACAGCAGGAGAAATGTTTCTTCGGTCAGCCGAAGCTTGAATACCCTTGCAGTTATACCACGCCACATATACATATATATTATATTCGATATGTTTCTGAGCATAACAATACTTTTTGTTTACTTTTTGGTCTTACGCAATCTTCAATAATATGCAAAAGAAAATTGTTTGAGATATGCAAATAGAATGACTAAGTTTTGCTTAATGTTTTCTATGTTTGCTATATGAATTGTTAATCTGATTACGATCAAGAGAGGTTTTTTATTACATATTTTATAGTACATTCCGCAAGGGTATCTATAGGGCGCCAACGTGAACTTAAACAAGTAAACTAGCTATAAATGCCAAACTTATTTATTAACTCAAATTCATAACTCTGTAATTTGTCATATTTTTTGAACACATCAAATTATAATGTAAACAATAAAAAAAAAAAAAACCTATGGAAAATGTCTGCTTTGGAACAGCTTAAGAAAGTCACGACCATTGTCGCCGATACGGGTGACTTTGATGCCATTAATGTCTATAAGCCGACGGATGTGACAACAAATCCATCGTTAATCCTGAACGCCTCAACTATGGAGCGCTATAAGCATCTCGTACAGAATGCCGTCGAATATGGTAAGCGTAAGGAGGATACGCTGGAGAATCGTGTCGCGGAGGCAATGGATTATTTGTGCGTATTATTTGGTTGTGAAATTTTAAAAATTGTGCCCGGTAGGGTGTCCACAGAGATAGATGCGCGTCTCTCATTTGATACGACACAGAGCGTGGAGAAGGCATTGAAATTGATTAAATTGTATAAATCGTTTGGCATACGGAAAGAACGTATTCTCATCAAATTAGCCTCAACCTGGGAGGGCATTAGGGCGGCCGAAATTTTGGAAAAGGAGTATTTCGTACATTGTAATCTAACGCTTCTCTTCTCCCTTGTTCAGGCTGTTGCCTGTGCGGAGGCTGGCGTAACATTAATCTCGCCGTTTGTGGGCCGAATTCTGGATTGGCATATCGCAAATACGGATACGAAAAGCTTTGAGCCCAACGATGATCCGGGCGTTATATCCGTACGAAATATCTATAACTACTATAAGAAAAATGGTTACAATACCTCAATTATGGGCGCATCTTTTCGAAATACGAGCGAAATCAAAGCATTAGCCGGCTGCGATCTGCTAACGATTAGCCCAGCTCTGCTGAAAGAATTGGAAGATGATCGCGGTGAGGTGCCCGTCCAATTGTCTGTGTCGAATGCCAAAAAGCAAAATATCAAGCAAATTTGCCTTTTTGAGAAGAAATTCAGATGGTTAATGAACGAAGATGCCATGGCCAGTGATAAACTAGCTGATGGCATTCGAAAATTTACATTAGATACCGTGAAGCTGGAGAATTTAATTCGTTCTTTCTTCTAAGAAATTAGTCTAATACACTTTTGTCAGAGAGCTCAATGCTCAACGCATCGACCTGTGCTTACAAATTTCAATTTGAATATGGAAAATGTGGCATCAAAATAAGTTTGTGGAAATATATAAGCTTTTTTTATGAAATGACGCACTTTTTTTTAGAATAAATAAAATTTAAGATGACTTTTCTTTTGGTTTTTATAGCTATTCAACCTCATGCCAAAAATTGTATTAAAAATGGTCACAACTTTTTGAGGATTTGGATTTTTTTGTTTCTCTTTTTTCCACAAATAAAACCTATTTAATTGCGCATAGCTCTGTGGCTCGGTAATTACATAAGCACACACATATATCTATAACTATTATTTATAACACATTGATATGATAATAATTTGTTTTCAAATATGATAGATTTGTGGTACAACATATTTAGCTGTTATAAACACTCAGATATTTGTTGTTGAATATACATAAGGGCTTCTAAGTGTCGCCCAACTCGCTACCAAATTGTACTTCAATTTCCTATGCTTAGCTTAAACTTAGCCCTAAACATTCAACTTAAATACTCTCTCTTTCTCTCTATCTCTTTCTTTGACTCTTTGCCATCATGGTCTTGAGTAGTTGTTGCTTAAACCCTATCGAATACTTATCCATCTATATACAACATTTAGTTCTAGCTTAGGCATAACTTTTCTTTCTCTAGCGTTTAGCTTAAAATCTCACATAGCTAAAATCATTTGGATTTGGCGCTGACGTCACTATTGACCCGCTTACCTCTTCCTCAACAGCCGTGGCATATCTATTGATAGTCGCATTCTTTTCCAAACTGAAATTATCCTCTGTGGTCTTGTTGTACGTGGGATTTACAAAGTTCATTGTATTGCCCCGCTTTGGGTATTTCTTTAACACGCAGTAGGATAACTATGAAAGAGGTAAAGAAATAGAATTAAATTGATGGCTTACGACAGTTTGACAGCTGTGTTATGTGGGATATAAATAACTGTACTTACGCTTATAACAGCTGCTGCGGCTATCAGCGCCCCTATGACAATTAGGGCTATTTTGCCCGAATCTCCTTCCGTTGGCTGCGCCGTCTCCGCGACCTTGCCGCCCGTATGTGTCGCATTTCCAGTGTTTTCAGCATCTGTTGGGCCAGAGAAAAGCAAAGGGAGAGTGAGAATTGACGTTAAGTTAATTACTTTAGGTTATGTTGAATACCAAAACCGAAACCGCAACGAAAAAAAATACACAAATTAAGAATATATAAAAGTAAGGTTTATAAAGACTTTACAGACAGAAACCAATTCCAAAGTTGTTCACACAATTGTTCATTAAATAATTTTTAAAAAATTGATTTTATAATCAAGATTTACAGCATGATTTAAAAAAAAAATCTTTTGTTTAGATTACAAATATGTTTTTCTATCAACTTCAGCCTTTCTGCTGAAGATTGGCAACTTTAAAATGTTCTTTTAAAATAAGTATTGCAACAATTTTTGAAATATATTAAAAAGTATTTAATTTGTGAAGTTAAAATCGTATTAAAATTGGTTGTTAAAGAAGTTCAAAATCATATTTCAGCTGGACTCCATGACGAGTAGTTTAAGGGAACTTGTTCGGAAAATTGGTTTGCGGGGATTATTGGATTATAATTAATGATCTAGTTTATTTTCTACAATTAAGCATTTTAATAAAGATTAATCCGGGAAATATTTTATAAATTTTTAAAAATAATTAAGTTCTTTTTTAATGCGGACACGCCTCCTCTTTTGATTTGTTTTTGGTTTTTTGTTTTCGTTGTTCCGCGTGTCCAACCCGAACATAATTAAAATATCTCCTTATTTTTAGATATGCCACGAAACAAAAAAGTCGACGACATCCCGTGGCGAATGTTTCCGCTGTGTCCCTATTTCAGCCCCCTGCCCCGCCCCCTCATTTAGTTGTCAACTTTTTGTGTCACGCTTTTCGCCTTTTGTGAGGTTGTTGTTGTCTGTGCGGCAGGAAGTTGTAGGATTTTTCCGCTGTCAACATAATTCGTTTTCATATTTTCCGTTTAGAATTTGTTCAAAAGTTAAGCACGAAGCAGGCAGGACGCAGAACGCAGGACGCAGAACGCGTTCGCCTGGCAAAGGATGTGCCGCATTTAACAGCATTGCACGAACTGTCGCCTCTTCTACATCTGCCACTTGTTATTGTTCCCGCTGCTTGGTGCTGTTGTTGCTTTTGTTGTTCTTATTAATTTTTTGGTCTACAGCCTGTCATAATTTCCATGAACTGACAACTGGCCCGCCCGCTGCTGCGGATCAGCATGAGAATATGACGCATATGGCAACGCCGGCAGCAGGAATTATCATTAAAAGTTGGCACTGGCAACAGCTGCACAGCATCGATTGTTAACGGCAAAGGGGCGGTAGGGTGTGGGCGAGAGAGAGAGAGAGAGAGAGAGAGAGAGCGGGGGAGAGCGAGTTTATTTTGAGGCTGTGGCGCTACGTAGATTTTTGCAATTTATTTGCGGCATTAACAGACAGCCAAGTGGCAAAAGAAAAGCAGTTGAAAAGCTCTACGCATATTTGCCACATTAATTGCACGTTGTGTGTGTGTGTGTGGGTGTGTGTGGGTGTGTGTGTGGGTATGCTAAAATATAAGCTGCTTTCAAATGGTTTGAGGGCAGGGGCAATCATCATTTTCTATAATTTAAATTCTCTTTCAACGGCAGCTAAAAAGCTTACACAGCTGAGAAGGGCTGGCTGAAGTCGGTTAAGAAAAGATGTTCCGAAAAGGGTTTCCCCTTAAATTAAAGCACATTTGTTTTAGCTTTATGAGATTTATTGAGCGCATATGTGGTGTGCCTAAGCTCTTGTTAAAATAATCCTGTTAGACCCAAAAACACGAAAAGCTTAAGACTTTAGGATTACTTCTAGCAGAAGAAATTAAGGCGACTTTGTTTTGGATGAACTCTTGACACAGAGATATAATTTTAAATTTTTATCTATATTCAATATTTTTTCATACAAAATGATTAGAAATTTGTATAGTTTTTTGTAATTCTGAATATTTTTACTAAAAAGAATGGCGAAAATGATCTAGAAGCTTAGCGAGAATGTTTTTTTGTCATGAATTTAAGCTGTATCTGCCTTGCTTAAATTTAAATTTAGATAATTATCCTATAGAAATATTATTCGGAGAAAGTGAGACGAAAGAGATTGAAGTACATTTTGGCAAGTTGAAGGGGTTACATCATTAAAATAAAGAATATTTATTCTCCTTGACTCCTCCTGGCGAAACACATTTTGGGAACGCCTTGTAGCTGCTGTTAGGCAAATTCCTTCTTTGTTTGCCATACTTTATGTACTACCATAAATGTCATATATTATTGCTGCCACCCTAATCTAAAGCAAATGCAATTTGCCTGCTTCGCAGCACAAAACAAAGTAATGCTCCCCCAATTTTTTTTTGTGCTCGTGCGCTTCCACTTTTTATAATCCTGCACATGTGTTTTATATGGTTTTTTTTTTTGTTAAAACACGTGAGACGCAGGCACAGACGTTGCCTGCCACCAGGTGTGTGTGTGTGTGTGTGTGTGTGGGGCTCACTAACGTCATAAAAATTCGCGACCCTCGCAACGCGCTGAATAAATGAAATAAAAACGCATAAAATGTGTGGCCAGCTTCTAAATTTTTTTGAGCTTCAAAGTAAGACCAGATTAGATAAACTTAGCTACTTTTGTGGCAAATATATATATATATATATATAGTGAAATGGTATGGCAACGCTGCGCATTTAGGGCTGCCAGCCCCGCGGCAAATGGTCAACTGACCAATTGCAGCCAGCTGAAAGTCATAAAATTTGCAAACAGCTGCTGAAGCCACACAGCCACAACCTCCCCCCCCCACCTCGCCCAACGCCCCTCTCTCTCTCTATGAGCTCTGCTGCCACCCATCCTCAATTTATGTGTTGGCTATTAAAAACGCAGTCGGTACTTTCGACGGCTGCCAAGTTTATGGCGGTTCGGCGGCTCTGACTATCTGTCATGCTGTCTGAACGTATTTGCAGAACTTTGCCTGCGCTTAATTAAGCAATTTGAAGTGCGTCGGCTGGTTGGGTGAGTGGGGCTGGACGGGGGCGGGGCGGCTTCGTTGTGGCTAAAGAAAAAGTAGCACAAACCGCTAATTGAAATTGCAGTTATGGCCGGTATGCTTGTTGCCTTGGCTTGGTCATCTAATTGAAATAGCCCTTAACTAGTTTATAGTTATTTACTTGAACCACGCCCCCTGCCTGCTGACGGCCTCGATTCGCCCACACGCTCCTCGGACTGTTGCAAAACTTTTGCCAAAGCACTCAGCACTTGCTGCTCGTCCGGCCGGAGTCGCTTTAGTCCTTAAATGCTCTTGTAATTTTCTTGGAATTGTATTGCACTCGCCGCAGACCAGGCAATGTAACGGTATTTGCTTGAGCCGCTTAACGTTTGCCTCTTCTTCTACAGTTTCTCATTTTTTTACTTTTAAAACTGACGTAATTAGGCGCATTTTGTATGGGCACCCACTGCTAAGCCCCGGACAAGCAGCTGATTTGGGTAGGCATAGAAACCATCAAAGTTCTTGTCGACGAAGGGACAATGCTGGCCATGTTTATATATACATACATCAACTGTGGCCCAAGTGGAACTCAAAAGGGAAACAACAGCAGAAAATATTGAATTAAAAGAGATGTTGAAGTTTACAGCAGAAATGATTAAAGTGCTATTTAAACTTTATGATGATGATGGTAATTGTGTTTCAATGGCAAAGATTTATTTTTCCGGCAAGCAGAGTAGGTCGATGTTTAAAGTGACTTTTTCAAAATTTGTTCAATTTGTTCAATTTATAATGTTGTAATTAAAGTGAAGCAGAAAATTATATAATTTTATATCAAATTAAAAAGTTCATAGACTCGTTCTGTTTGTCATTTTGCTGTCAAATTAAACATACTGTCAAATTTTATAATGTGCACATGAACTATTTGCAAGGCATATGATTTGCATGCTAAATATTAGCTGTAAAATAATGGAACAAGGGTTGCTGCCTGACAATATATGCCATGTATAAAAAAACTAGCAACACACTTAAAACAACTCGTTAAAAGCAGAAAAAAATCGAAATATAAAAATAGCTTTTACTGGGCATTTCAACATTAATAGACACTTAGGGTTGCCACTTGAAAATATGTACTCCATTATAAAAAAAAACAAATTAACGTTGGCAAAGTTAACATAAAACTATTTGTAAAGGGCATTTAAACATTAATAGAGAATACACGCAGTGTTGCCACTTGACTATATAGAGCTCATAAAATAAAAATTAGGGTTGCCATCTGAACATGTACATGGTAAACGTACCAAATAGTCTTTAATCGGCACTCAAACATTAATAGACGCTTACGGCTGCCACCTGACAAAATGTGTCTCATTATCAATTAAGAATTGGGGCTGCCATCTGACCATGTGCATGGATATGTTAATATAGAATTGTTTTTAATGGGAATTTAAACATTAACAGAGAATAGATAATCAGGGTTGCCACTTGACAATGTATAGCTCAACGAATAAAAACTAGTGTTGCCATCTGACTAAGTATATGGCAAAATATATGACAAAACAGCTTGTAATCTGCACTCAAAACATAATAGATACTTAGGGCTGCCACCTGACAACCTGTTTCATTAAAATATAAAATAAGGGTTGTCCCCAAACAATATATATCACAGACGACAGGACCAGGCAAGAGGAAGCTTGCAATAAGCAGCTTAATTTTACTTTTACAATTGCTCAAATAAATTTGACAACTCTACGATGTGTTATTGCACACGTGGCGTTGCCACATGTGCATAAAAACTTTAATATTTCGTTGACATATGACTCAAAATGAAGTACGTGCAAGTGAGCTTGTTGCTAAGGTGAGGCTAGATGAAGAGCCAAATGCTTGAGCTGATGACGAATTTCAAAATATAACAAAATGTTTTCACTTTACTTGTGTACGTATGTATGTATGTATATAGCGTATCTATTGGAAGCGCAAACAAATTGCAGCTTGAGGACAATTTGATTTTGTTTTATTAAAAGCTTGCTGACTAGCAGAAAACGAACAACATTTTATTTGCATACAACAGAAGTACAAATTTGTACGTGTCTCTGTGCTTATTTCATTTCCCGGAAATGTTGTTTATTCAAAACATTTTTGGCTTTTATGTTTTGTGCTGACAACTGCTTTAATTTTGGCAAATAGATCAAAGCATGCTCTTTGTTATTGGCACAATGGCAACAACGGCAAATGCTTTCTAATTGTCTTGATTAACTGCTATCGTGGCAATCAAATAAAATTGAAACATAGATAAATCAATGCTAGCAATATTTGGTATGCTTGTGCTGCATATTTTTGGCGAACACTGTGCTTATTTATGAGCTCTCCATATCCTGCTCATTCCCATGCCTGACAATAATTCGCAGCTGTAGGTGCTGACAGTGCCAATTTTCGAGCTGATGGATGTGCGGCTGATGCGGATGATGAATTTCTGGTTAAACTATTTGCTACACCCCTTCCAACCCTTGGCTGGCTTTTAGCTGCTGCTGTTGACCATGTCGTTTTGTGTACAATTTAATTTCATGGCGATTTGTTGAGCGACGACAACGACAACGCTTGCCGCTTGTCAGCGACAAGTCATCCAGCCAGTCAGCCAGTCAGCCAGCTGCCGCTGCCGCTGCCTCTGTCAGTCGTTCATCATCCGCACTCACATCCACATCCGCATTCGTATTCACATCCGCATTCTCATCCGCATAGTCATTGCTTTTGACAGAGTTGCCGCACAAATTGCATGCAGAATGTGCGTGGGTGTAAGTGTCATAGGGTTGTCGCTTAAGCTTAAACTGCCTTCGAGCTGAGGGGGGCGGGAGCTCAGGGAGGGGCGGCCATGGGATTAAAAGGGTAGGGCTGGCTGTTGGGGGGGGGGGGGGCAGGCGAGGTAACCATTGTTGCCATTAAACATGTCACTAGCGCTTCCTTTTTGGTGGTTTAACCCCTCACTTTGCCGCTATATTTATGTATGTTTTACGTGAAAGCACACAACATGGTTGGTCTGTGTTTGAGTCTGGTATGTGTGAGTGTGTGTGTGTGTGTGCATGTGTGTGTGTGTGTGTGTGCATTTTGAGTGATTATGTCGATATCATTGATGTTGATTTATGATGATGACATGTGAGCGTTGGCGTTGTTGAATGCATGTGTAAGAAATTGGAGTGACAAATGGCATACAAAATGAAAAGAGAGAGAGAGAGAGAGAGAGAGAGAGAGAGAGAGAGCGTATTTACATATGTGTACGTGCAGACACTCGCATTTTGTTGTCGGCGAATAATTTGTGGACATCACAATATGACATTAAGTTATGAGTTGGTATAAAAAAGAGAGAGCATTCGAGCACATATATGAATAATGATAGACGGGATTCAAAGTAAATAAAGCTAAAATAATGGACTATAATTAATGTAATCTATGGGGTAGCCATAATAGAGCTGAAATGATGGATTATAATTAATACATAAAAGGATGGATGGTCTATAATTAATGTTTTGGAATAGGACAAACAACCAACACCTGATGCTCAATGGGCGTAGTCAGAAAAAAATTATATACAAATCTTCAATTGAATTGTTTCTTTAAATATTAAAAATACTTAAAAAATTGAAAAAATTTCGAATAATATTCAAATGACTATAAAAAAAGTCAACAAAATAGGCCTTCATTTTTGTGATAAAATTTAAAGAATTTGAATTGCTAGTAGAGAGGAGAAGAGTGGAGAGAAGCCGAAAAAGTTAGCCGGTTGTACTAAATTTAATATTTACTTATTTAATATTTGAATATTGATTTTTATCTGACCAACGCACACTGAGAAAAAAGACAATATATTTGTACTAAAGTCCGCCACCTCAACAAGTAAACGAAATCGAAAAGTATAACTCATACCCTGCGCTAAGCTGGGCGCATCTTGAGGTAGATTCGCGAGTGTTGGCGACGACGTCGAGACTTTGACCCGTGTCGTAGTTGGATTTACTCGCCTCGTGGGTTTCACGGGGCGTATGCGTACTATGGAGTCAAGAGTAGGGTAGGGCAAAATTAAATTGAAATAAAATAGGAAATGAAATTAATTTAAAATAACAATAGAGCAGATGTTAAGAGCCTTAATAAGGCTCAGCTGCAGTCTCGTGTGGTTGCAGCCACCGCAACAAGGACACGTCGGCATCCAACCGCGAATGCAGCGAGCCGTGCCGGCAATTACGGCTGCTCTTGTTACATTCATGGAATGCATTTTCCAAAGTACATTTTAAGCCCCAAAACCCAGAAAATAACACCGGTAAAGGGCAAAGCTACTTACGATCTTCGACACACATCAGACCATCGGACATGAGCATAAGGCCCGTGGGGCAGGCGCAGGATATGCGCGGACTGCGCTCATTGATGCGCGGCGCCGGCAGGCAGAGATGCGAGCAGTGGCCATTAACCGCTTGGCAGTGATTAATGCCATCGGGCTGGCGATAAGGATGATACACATGGATGACCATGGGATGTTGGAGCTGTGAATGGAGAGAAGGGAGTCAAGAAGAGGAAAGGATTATCCAGTTTAGTCAAAAACTTACCATATGCACAGCCGTGATGGGCTCCACACCCTCGCCAGTAAATTTGTTGGCCTTGAAGACCGTCTGCTTGTCCCAGTCGGTCCAGTAGATGTAATCCTCAAAGGTGCTTATGGAGAACGGATGCCGCAGATACTCAGTTGAGTAGAGGATCTGTCTGCGCTGTGAGCCATCGTAGTTGGCCGAGGAGATGACATTCAGCTTGCCATCCACCCAGTAGATGCGCTTCCTCACCAAATCCAAAGTGATTCCATTGGGCCACTTCACATCGTAGTTGATGATAGTCGTGCGATGGGAGCCATCCATGCCGGCGCGTTCAATGCGCGGCGAGGCGCCCCAGTCGGACCAGTACATCCAGCCCTCGATGGGATCGAGCGCTATGGAGCGGGGTATGTCGAGCGCATCCTCGATCAAAACCTTGCCCATGTTGCCATCAAAGTTGGTCAGCTCGATGGTGCACTTGTGCGTGTCCGTGTAGTAGACGTGGTTGTATATCCAGTCGACGGCCAGGCCATCCGAGGTAACCGATGACTGCTTCAGGACGACGGTCTTCTCGTTGCCCTCATCGATCGGCGCCTTGTAGATGCTCTGCGTGGTGACATCGCTCCAGAAGATCATGCCCGTGCGGAACACAAAATCCAAAGCTGTGGCCGACTTCGTATTGTTCACAATTGATGTGATTTCCATGTGATCCAGCGAAATCTTGCGTATGTCTTGGCGACGCGCCAACAGGAGAGAGGCGTGTCCCTCTGTCGCCTTGCAGCGTGTGTGATTGCTCGAATCGCGCATATAGCCCGCCTCGCATTCGCACTTAAAGCTGCCGATTTCATTGACACAGATCTGGGAGCAGACGCCCGGCTCTTCGCACTCATCGATATCCATACAATGGTGGCCATCGCTGGCTAGCTTATAGCCCTCGTGGCATTCACAGCTATAGCCCACCGGATGATCCACGCAACGATGCATGCAGCCACCATTTTTGGTGTCGCACTCATTAATGCCACACTTGCCCGCCGGCTCATCCTCGCCGTCAGGGCAATCCTTGCGCTTGTCACATACCTTATCCAGGGGAATGCATTGACCGCCACCGCATTCGAACTCGCTGGTGGCGTTGCAGCTCTTGATTTGAGCTGACAAATGACAGTCGCGTTCATCGCTGCCGTCCGCACAATCCGCCTGCCCATTGCAGGTTAGATGGCCGGCAATGCAGCTGCGATCGCCGCACTGGAACTGATCCGGCCGGCAGGTGACATTCTTGCAGTTGGCGACAAGCTCATCATCGCCATCGGGGCAATCGAGGTCTCCATCGCAGAGCCAGCTGTGGTGCAGGCAGGTAATGCGATCCTTGCACTGAAACTCATGCGGCAGGCAGGGCGTTACATTCTGTCCTAAGATGCCGCAGTTCTGTGGCAGTGTGAGGGAGAGCGAAAGAGAAAGAGAAAGGGAAGGTGTAGTCAATGAAATTGCCTGTCTGCTGTGCGTAGTTGGTTTAAAATGCATTTTGCATAGCGCCTGCCAAAGGAAAGTTTACTTGAAATGTGCCATAAAATAGCAGCTACTACACAGTCAGCTCTGCCACACACACACACACACACACATATATATATATATATATATGTATATACACTCTCTTGCCTCGGCGCCATTGCTTGCATATCTTTTGTTGCATACTTTTTGGGGGCTGCTCATCACATTCTTTTCATACATAGTTTTACATTTTTTATGTTTTTTTATATATTTTTTTTTTGGCAAGCAATTTTAGACATTGGCTTCCCCCTTGACTGGCAACAACAAAAGCAGCGCGTCGCACACGTAAATGTTTATGGCAGCAGTTGCCAGCGTCAAATGTTGACGGCGCCGTCACCAGTGTTGAGTAATGCGCGCGTGTTGCATAATTTATGTTGCCTTGTGAGAACATGAATATATATATTTATGAATATATGTATTGTGCGAGGGCTGTTTGGCAAGTCTGGCAAAGTTCTTGCATGCAACTTTTGCATCCATCACAATGGTTTTGTGGACTCAAGATTTGATTTTGTGTATGTATGAAAATTCTAAAGTATTATTTATAGATATTCACTATATTAGTTGGCAAATAGTATTAGCAAATAGGCTGGCAGGTCTATGGAATTAAAGCATTTAAATCATTTTAATTTTATAGGACAGAAGGTCTATTTTATATGGCGAATATTTTGATAAACCTATCGAATTTTAAGTTTAGAAATAAATGAAATAAATGTTTAAAATTATTGCCAAACATTTAATAATTATTGCTATTTAGCGTATATATAATATTTATTTTATTTTATTTTAATTATCAATAAAGTATGTACCGCTAACCAAAGTTTTGAGGCAACCCTCGTACTTGTGCTTTGTGTATGCCAGCAGTTAAGTTTGCTTTTAACTAGTATAATAGACTAAGAAAACTTACGCGCTCATCGCCGCCATCCGGGCAATCCGGTTCGCCATCGCAGACCCAACTCTGGCTTATGCAGGCATCATTGCTGCAGGTGAACGATATGTTCTTGGGGCATACAACTTTGGTGCAATTGAGCTCATCGCTGCCATCGCCGCAGTCGTCATCGTGATCGCAGACCCAACGCTGCTGAATGCAACGGCTGTTGCGGCAGGTGAACTCATCGGAGCGACAGGTGGTATCTGGGTTACAATTGGTATATGTATATGTTAGACAGTGCGTATGTGTGTGTGTGTGTATGTGGGGAATGAGAGCTGGGAGGATTTAGCTGGACTGTGCTTATGACAATGAGTGCTTATGTTAGCATGAGCTCTATGGTTAGCTAAAGTAGAGAGTTAGGTAAACAACAAGCTGAGAAAGCCAAAGCCAACAACAAAAATAACAACTTAAGCCGAAATATGCGGGACATAACTCAACAAAACCAACACCATTATAAAAATTGCCAAAGCAACGCGCCAAGGGATAAAAACCAACGAGATTTGTTGCCAACAACTACAAAACTACAAAAACAACAAAATATCTAACAAAGGCATTGCAAACCAAAGTGTGTAGCTGCCTGTGCGTGTGTCTGTGTCTGTGTTTGTGTGTGTAAATATTTGTGCTTTATTGCATGTGTATTGTTGAGGTAAGTATTACACAATTCTTGTAGCAATGTGTAGCATACTTATGGCCAGCAAGATGAAGTATGTACACACACACACACACACACACAAACACGCACACAGGCGCAACTAAGCACAGTACAACAACCAGAGTTTTAGTTACAGCTTACAAACAGTTACAGTTTAAGATTAGAAATTTTCGAAATATGGCTTACTGCACGTGGCCTCATCGCTGCCATCGCTGCAATCTTTGTTCTGATCACACATCCAGGCAAGTGGTATACACTCGCCGTCGCCGCTCTTGCAGGCGAACTCATCCGGTGAGCAGGATTTGCTCTCTGCAATAAATACAAATAGATGGCGTAGAAAAATATGGTGTTAGTGTTTAGACATGATGACAATATGCTTATGCGTACACCCGATCAGATATACTGATTTTTATGGCTAAGTTTTTTAGCCCAGAAAGATGTATACAAAAATTTTGTTTCTTCTTCATATTTGTGCATAAAGCTGACAACTTGCTTAAAATGTAAAATATATAAATTTGTGGTTCCTGTTTTCAGAACTAAAAAAAGGAATATGGTTCATATATAAATATTTTTCAGTAAGAAATGAGAATCTTTTAAGAAAATATTTGAATATGTTTTACCTTAAAGAAAAACAGTTATGTCGATATATATAAACAAGAAAGAGGGTAAAATCTGCTTTGAAAAAATTCAATGAATTCAATACATTTATAAAATATAATGTGGGAATGCCAACCTGCTTATATATACAATATACATGTATTCATTCGAGCTTTTGGTCATATTTCTCGAATCATATATAATGTAGATATATGTAGATCTTTTGATTAAGAATTGTTCATGTGCTTAGAATACATTCAAATTTAAACATAATTTAAATTTTAATAGGCCAAAATATTCCAATTGCAAGCCTTACTTAATTAGAGCAAAAGTGCATAAATAGCTAATATTTTGCAGAGAGCTGCCCACCTGCTAAACGTTTTATATTATTATATATTCTATTTAAAAAACATAATTTAGTATATTTTCTTTACTAAAGAAAATATATGATTAGCTGTCAAATTGGCTTGCCCAGCAAAACAAAACAAAATAATAAGAAAACCCATTCAAATTTTCCCACACTCAGTAACGAGCAGCAAAATGGCTGTAAAAATTGCCTAAAGATAAGCTCGGTAAAAATTTCGACTCACCCCAAAATGGGTGAGTAAAAATCAAGTGCCTGATAAACTGCGTTACAGCTCTTGTTTATATGCACATACATATATATGTCGAGTGGCTTCTAACTGTCTGCCTAATGGCGTTGCTGAGTTAAATCTTTGATTGCTGCAGCAGCGGCACATTACTGGGCGTGTTTTTGGGGCAACGCCTTAAAGCATGCAACAGAGTTAAGTCAAGACGTTTAATGCCTGCTTCTCGCCTGGCATTGTAATTAAGTTTATAAGAAGCAGCAGCAGCAGCAGTAGCAGGAATTCAAGTCCAATTGTGGCTCGCACATGCCAGGCAAGTAATAAACATAGTTGTCGTGCCAGCACACACAAGCACACACATACGCACACATACGCACACACGCACACGCACGCATTTAGCAATATAGGGCAACTCGAACTGAGGCTAAGCGGGCGGCATTTTATCTAGGCAGTAATTAAGACATTATCAGCCAACACTCCATAAAGTTAAAACGCACACATGCGTACACATTAAAGCAATTATCACACACAGCCAAACACACATATCCATATCCACACACACACGCATACTTATATAGGCAGCCTGTTGGCTTGAAACTTTCATTGAAGTTATGCCAGGCGTACATTCAAAAAAGCTGACAAACGAATACACACACACACGTACACGCATAAAAACGCTTGTGTTTAACCCTAAATGCGTATTATTTTTTTCGCCTTTTGTTTTTTGTTGCCTACCACTAGGCGCATGAACTGAATGTCCTTTGTTTATGTTGTTGCCTTTGCTATGGCTACGCTTGATTTTGCCTGATAAGATTATGTATTTTTTTCTATATGTGTCGTTATCTGTGTGTGTGCCACAGGCAATAAAGGCTCATAACACCACACACACATAGACACAAATAGACACACACACACACACACACACGCATATAAATATGCCTTTGCTGCTTGCTTTGTTTGCCGCGCTACCTATGCGCCAAAAAAAATCACTATGTATATATGTAATATTTTTCGCATTTTTTGCCCAACATCGTTGCAAATAAATTAATTTATTATTATTTCACGCTTTGTTGTTTGATATTTTTTGCATGTACAGCGTCTCGTATGCGTGATATGACTTAAATTGGTATTTATTGCAGCGAGCACACGAGCGTGTAATTCGGCAATACGAATTCAGAAGGAATTGCAGCTTATACCACGTGCAAGCTGAGTGTGTAGAGAGTATTTTGTAATGAAAAAAAGTTAATACGAAAATTTAATAGAGCCACTGGCAGATCTCCATGGTAAAATAAAAGCGATTAAATGCTTGAAGATTGAAGTACAATTTTCGCTGAAATTTGTGAGAAGGTTGCTTAATTTATTTCAGCTTGAGTTTGTTTGAATTTGGGCAGCGGATTTTCGTTTGTTTCGACTGAGAAGACATAAAACGCGCTCAATTTAGATCCCGTAACACATTTTGTAAGAATTTCTTTGAAGATCCTGCAACTCCGTTTGAATAAACAGAGAGGAAGCGTTTCTTATAAAGTGAAAATAGATTAGCTTTAAAAAAATGTAGGAAAATAATTGTATCAGAGCAAGGCCTCAGCCTTAACTCATGTGAAAAAAAAGTGAGGGCGTGGGACCGACAAATGTTTTTATGCCAAACATAGTCTATCTTTCGAATTATTTCGCTACTTTTTCAATTTTGTATTTTGTATTTGCTACAAACTAAATTTATGGCATGCATGAAAAAGTTAATTACGCGCAATTTTGCTAATATTGCGTATACGCAACGTTTTTATGATTTCATTAAATTAGCTATAAAGCCAGTCCGCGACTGGGACTTTTTCTATTTTCTCTTTTTCAATTTTAATGCCACTATTTTGCTGGCCACTGAATGTGGCCCGGCAGCAGCAGCGGCAGGACATGTCGGCTGACCTCAGTCCCAGTTGACGGAGCCGGTTTCAGTCTCGGCGTGGCTTCAGCTAGTATAAGCCATATAAAAATCAATTTGCTGGCTACAAAGAATGCCTCTGAGTAGCTTGAATAACATGCACACATATACACACACACAATTGCACATAACTTTTGTATTGCATTCAATAGCATTTTCTTGTTATCTGCCGCCTGCTATGAAGAAGTGGGGCTTGGCTCCAAAGTGAGTATGCTTGCAATTTGATTTTAATATTATTTAAAATGCTTTTAGTTTATGTGCCAGACGTGTAGTTGGCCAAGTGGCACACCCCATGCCTGCCGCTGGTCCCCCCCCCCTCCCCTCCCTGTCCACAACCATCACATCAAAGGCATCAAAGCCAATGAAGTTTGATGCTTTTGTTGAGCAGTTGGCGCTTTGTTTACCCTGCCGTTGCCCAACAATGACTGGCAGTTTTGCCGTCAGGAATACACAAGTCACATTGTAGTTTCCTTTTTTTTTTGCTGTATTTATTTGATAGGAGTTCGGGTCGTATGAAATCTAATAATAAAAATTTCATTTCATTTTTTTGCCGTTGCTAGAAGTAATAAATATTTAATAAACGCTCGTGCATTGAAACGGATTGATGTGTAGCAGAAAATCAAAGGAGAAGCAAGCTTTTTGATTAAAGTTCAAACAGTCCTTCATTTAATTTGAAAAAGTTCCTTCAGCTGCTATGTATTGGCAATATGATATGATATTATTTTATATGATATTTATTAAATATCCACAATTTCTTTATGTCTATTTTATTGCAATTCAAAATTTTTCATGTTTATTTTTTTCTAATAATTTGCGGCATTTTTCAGAAATTCTTGTTAATGAACCCATGGAATTCTACGTATAGGTAAGTCAAATTTAAGCTTAAACCAACTTTTCTTTTCTAATGTCTGTATTAAAGTGCTTGGTTACTTCTGGGAAATTCTTAAGAGAGAAGAGAGAGGGCAAGCTTAAAGCATAGATCAAAATACACTATGATAGATTTGCATACTTAGGTGTAGCTCTTTTTTACCCTTGCAGAAGGTATTAAAATTTTGTCTTGAAATGTGTAACGCATATAAGGAGATGTCTCCGAACCCATAAAGTATATATATACTTAATCAGTATCAACAGCCGATTCGATATAGCCATGTCCGTCTGTCCGTCTTTCCGTCCGTCCGTTTGTCCGTCTGTCTGTTTTTATGCGAACTAGTCTCCAAGTTTTAAAGCTATCATATAGCCGCCATAGGAACGTTCGGTTGAAAAGTAGATTCTTTTATGAAAAACTTTTTCGTTTATCAAGGTATCTTGATCAAACTTGTCATTTCTTAGTTTTATTAATGCTCCTATCCTATTATCAAAATCCTATCAACATCGGACAACTATATCATATAGTTGCCATAGGAACGATCGGTCGAAAATTGAGTTCTTGTATGGAAAACTTTTTGTTTCTCAAGATATTTTGACCAAAATCGGCATTAACTAGTTTCCCTGTGCTTCTTAGATACGGGCAAAGCGTTATGAGCATTATGAAAATGTTATAATTTCATTTTCGTCACGAGCTTTACAAAATGCTTGACATTTCGCTCTACATATTTTTTAGCAGATTCTATAAACGATATCTAGAAAAAGTTCGCGATTGTCTGTCAAACAAAATTTCGTTTAATATTTGTATATTTTTTTTGTATTTTTTTGGGGGCATGTTAAACTTCAATTAACATTCACAGCGTGGCCAACGATATAAAAATTCAAACAAAAAAAAAAAAGAAATAGGAAAAAATTATCGTTGAAAAATACTTTTTTTCCGTAGCGCATAAAAGCCATAAAATGTCACACGTGTTCAATGGCGGGAGCTGAGTATCCGGCAGTGCGAGTATCCTGTGAATCCTGTGTGCATGTTAAATTTTTGTTAAGCCGTGTCCTGCCTGTCGTTTGGCAGAATATAAACCACAGGCACACAGTTTGCGCGCGATTTTCTTTTCTTTTTTTGATTACCCAGTTTTTATTTCAGCAGCCCGCTGATGAGTTACGAGTGGATAACATCATAAAAATCTCATCATTTTTTTGTTTCAATTACAGCGCGGACGCAAAAAAAAAATTAAATTAAGTATAATAAAAATACGAAATTTTATGCGGCATATATATATGTTAGTTAGTTGAATGCGACACAGACTATAAACTGCTAAATAAGTTGCCTCGAAAAATGGTGCGATAAAAACAAGAGTATGCTATGATAGGCAAGTAGCACGGCGCCAACTGGAAGATATCCTGTAAACTGGCCTTAATTAACCTGGAGTTTGTATTTCGTGCTACATTTCAGCCATTGGTTTCTCAAGTAACTCTTGTATCTATTTGCCGATCGTTAGAAAATTTTCAGAATAAATGGACAGCATGTTAAAGTGTGCTTATGCCAAATAACAACAAGATATCTTCACATTTGCGCTAGTTATAGGATTTTCAAGATTTGCGTGGATGTATAAGAAAAAGTTTTCCCTCTGTTCTACCAGTAAAATGTGTTATATTATAAGCTGTTATAATGTTTAACAGAAATGCATGAGATTGCCCATTTATTGTGACATACAGACGCATTAGCTTTATATACCCCACTATTATGCACCTTTATGTATACAGGGTATTTGAGATTGGAGCTTGTAACAGTTAGCGAGGCTTGTTAATGCATAAATACAAATTATTATCGCTTGATGCGCACATCACGTTGTTTTGCCTGGGCCTTTGACGTTAATTTATGGACAAGTAGGGTCAAGTTTTGGGCCCAACCAAGCCATAAAGTCTGAGATACATGGGGTTTATACATGGGAAGGGGAGGGGGGGGGATATACATGGCATGCATTGAAATAAATAGCATGCTTTAAATGCGAGCCTTTCAGTTATGAAACCCATTTATGCGTTAGGGTGAGCTTTTTTTTTTTAGTGGGGCAGCGTAAATCCTCCGGGTTAGTAGTGGGTATATGCAAAGGTGGCTATAACTTTCGCTTACGACACTCCAATTCGTCGGAACCATCGCGACAGTCGGGTTCGCCATCGCAGATCCAATCGCGCGGCAAGCACTGCTCCCCATTGTGGCACTTGAACTGGTTGCTGGTGCAAAAATTGACTGCACAATGCAAGCTGAAATATGAGCTACCCAATCGCCATATACAATATAAGGGTAATACTTACTGCACTGACTCGACGCCTCATCCGAGCCGTCGGCACAGTCGCTCTCACGATCGCAGCGCCATTTGTTGGGTATGCAGTTGCCGTTATTACAGCGGAACTGTTCTGCGCCGCAAGTGGATTCTGTTTGAAAAAAAAAGAAGAGAGAAAAAATATATGTATATTGAAAATCTTTGCTTTCGATATGGAATTCAATTTTGCATAGCTTGCGGGTGCTAATAATATATGAGAAATGGGTCAAAAAAGCGAGTACTACTCGCGTAGTGCACTTGACCATACCCTGTAAATGGTTTTAAAATATTTTATTTGAAACATATTTTATATTCTCTTGATCTGACTACTTCACAGCTGTGGAATGACTTAAGGGACTTAGATAACTCTTATAGGTAATTTGTATATATTAAGTACCAAAAATCAAACATTATTTCAGGTATAATAATATTATTTCGTGGGTATCTAAGACTGCGTATGCATACCCCAATTTGGAGTCTCTAGCTTTAGCAGTCTCTGAGTTCGCTGAGGTCATAAAATGGCTGGATAGATACACATATGAAAGACTTAGCTAGATGAACTTAACAGTTGAGAGAAATAAAAACATTTATTATTCGATAAGGTCTGAGTGTTATAGAAATTTGTACAACAATTTAATAGCCTTTATCACCCATCTTAAATAATAACAGGGTATGAAAGTACTGATAATGGTTGCTACTAAAACTGTGGGGAATATGGGCATTGAAAATCTACTTTTTATGCATCAATAGGTTTCTGTGTCAAAAATAAATGTGATTTTTATGTTGCGGGCTGTGTTGCTGCCACAGGCAACAAAAACTTGCCACTTGCTGTGTGTGCGTGAGTGTGTGTGTGCCGAGTGTGTGTGTGTCTGTGTGGATTCTTGCTATCAATGGCTACCCCTTCTTTGGCAGGACTTTTGTTTTATGCCAGCATGGCAAAAAAAAAAAGAAGTTTAGTTTTACTATTTTATGGTCATTTTATTTTATGACTTTGCTCGTTTTGCAAACAACATTTTCGACAGAGTTTAAAGCTTTTGCCAGAAGGCAATCAAAAATTTCCAAACTTCTGCAGAGCAACTGGCAATAAGTTGGCTAACGGGGTCTGGAAAATGCAATTAGAAGATCAAATCATATTAAATGATCAGAATATTGAATCGAGTCTCAGATGTGTGTTAAGTTGTGCCAAAATGCATACTAATGGGAACAAGTGGGCTTAGCATAAAAATAAAGGCTAAATTGAGGGCTTATGTAATTTTTAGCTCTACATAAAGTTAAACCTTTTAAAGAGGTTACAAAGTGATTTAAAATTCCACAAAAGTGACACATAAATATATAGTAGACGCTATTTGAGTTATGTTGCAATTAAAGTGATATAAATCCATTAGCATAACTACAAATAGAACCGAAAACTTTGTTAAAACTGCAACAAAGTTCATAAAGTACTCAGTACTCAAGATATCCTAAGAGTCGACCCGTATAATTTAGTCAACTCCCCGTTGGAGAATGCTACAAACAACTAGCTGAACGAATATTTCTAAATTTTTGCACAGTGTTCTTTTATTTTTATCAACTTAATGTACTTTCCTCTCCCGGGACAGAGTGTTGCAACTCATCTGCATATTGCTGGCTAAAATGTTGCACCTTTTAACTGTGACTGCACTCAATTTAACGCCGTTACTCAAATGAATGCGCCCTCGACAGACATTTGGAATTCGGTTGAGCTTTAAGTCCAATGATGCCCCAACTACAACAACATGCAGCGGCTGCGGCAAGTTGCTGCGTGCCACAAGCCCATCTTCTGCCCCAGCCCCAGCCAAACAAGGTCCTGGCTGGAGCCATAAACTTTTGCGCAACTTTTGTGTGTGTTTCGCCAGCGATTTCTCCACCATTCCGCACTGCGAAAAATGCGCATCACGTTCTGCGTTTGGGGACTGGCAACGTACCCAACGTGTTTACCTAGCAACGGCATTTAGCGCCGACATTAAACAAGGATTGGGTCAGAAGTCGGGAGTCAGCCAGTAGCTGGGTATCTGTCGCTCAAAAATCTCGTCTAGTTTTTAATGACCAGCGCCAACTCGGGCTTGTGTGGCATGGCATGGGACTTTTAGTTGAACATTTTTGAAATTAATTAAATTTTCATAATTAAGTTGTTGGGTGAAAAAATGTTGATAACACTATGCTACGGGGCTTTTTTTTTGTAGACTTTTGAAGCTACATATCACATTTTGAAAGCATTCTTTATGGAATTTCATATTTTCTGTTTAAATTTAAATGTTTTTTATGTCAATGCATACCTTACTTAAATCTATTTAATTTATTCAGATTTTTTTTAAATTTTAAAATAAAAAATTTTTTTTAAAACATTTTCAATCGATTTACGTAAGTTTTTTCAATCTTAAAACATTGCTTTACTTTTGTTTTGTAATTTTTTTTTTTAAATTATATTAATATTTAATAATATATAATTTGTATAATTTTACGATCAAAATATTTATTATTCATATGCAGTTTCTTCTTCAATTAATTTTTGTTCTGTTTATGTTAATATTTTAACGGAATTCACACATATCTTATTAAATTATAAAACATTGTTTTATTTGTATTTCTTTTGTTTTAAGCCATTAAAATATAATTTTAATTTTCGTTTAATTCCATTTATTAATTCTATGCAGTTTTTTAATTCATTTTTTTTTTTTAACATTTTTAATACATTTAATAGAATAGATAGTTTTTTTTTATTTTTATATTTTTGAAGTCTTTTGTTGTTGTCAAGTGTTGTCCAATTTGAAATGTTTCTTATAGATATGTTTGCTTCTGAATATTTCAATATTTGGATAAGGCCAGCTTGAATTTATTATGCCTTAAAACATTGTAAAACTAAGATTTAGCGATAGCCAACAATTATTTTATTTGTTGAAAGTGTTGCTTTGTTGCGTAGTGTTGGCCAACAAATAAGGTTTTGGTGGTGGAAATGTAAAATTGCATATTAACGACAGGCCGCAGGCTAGACTTTTTGCCAATTTAGTGGCACTTGCCCACACTGTTTACCTCCCCCCTCCGCCCCTCTCCCTGTGTCTAACAGCTAGCCATAAAATTGTGTTTTGGCCGCTGCTCAATTTCAGAGAATCTTGTTTAGATTTTTTTGTTGCCCTCTCAATTTTTTCTTATGCATAATTATTTATTTATGACCTAATAGGCGCTGGCAGTCTAAATGTCACATACATATAGCCCAAAGTGACATGCGGTGTATCGTTGTATGCATAAACAAACAGTCGGTTGTCTAGCTGTATGCCACATGCTACATGTCGCATGCCACGCCCACTAGCCCGACTCACTTCACACACACTGTGTTTATATATCTGGCGTTACGTTTACTTAAACAAAAGCTCATAAATTTATGCTCGTTGTTTTTGCCACATTTTTGCTACGCATATTTATTATGTCTTTCTGAAAGCATGCCACACACACACACACACGCAGGCGAACACATTTTTGTCGCATGCCCCGTGCCACATGCCGCATGCCACGCCCCACGCAAATCACTGGCACTGCGGCGCCCAGGTGCAAACTTCATTATTTACAGTCTGACGCGTCGCGTCGACGACATCGCGGATTATGTGGCACTTGAGGGGCGGGGCGCTGGGGGCTGGACTGGGGTAGCCTTTTAATTCTAACAGAGCTGAGAGCTAGCAACAACACTAACCACACTAACAACCAGTGTTGTGCATTCTCATGAATTTCATGCAATTCATTTAATGCGCGACGCTCCGGCATTTCGCTGGCAGCTTTTTGCATGATAATGAATTGCACTTTGGCAGGCGGGCTTAGAGGTGTGTCGCCTTATCGTTTGGCTTTGATTTCGGGCATTACGTGGAGTGCATTGCACGGCGGGGGTTATCAGTGCAACGGCGGAGCGGAGCAGCCGCTGCAGCTGCAGCTCAAGGTTGCCAAAGCTTGTCGTCGCTGAGGCCAAACAGAATAAGTAAAACATGAAAAAGTTCGCAAAACACACCCGGCACCAAAACTTTTCTCACAATGCAACTTAACTGCCACGCCCACGTTTCCTGCCAGCCACCCCGCTTCTAGGGGCGCTCATTTGCAGCGCCCCAGCTTTAAGCAAAAAAGTTATCTGGTCTCACAAGTGTTCACAAGGCAGCGGCAGCGGCAGACAAAAACTTTTTTGCGGTCATCCATCGATTTAGTGCATTAAAACTTTTGTCTGATATTTGCCATTTTCCATTTTCCATTTCCCACTTTCTATTTGCCATTTGTAACGTTTGGCAGCAGGTCTGAGCCGCCCAAAGCTGGCAACAATTGTATTTAAAAAAATTCATATAAATGCACATTTACTTATATATATTAAATTTATAGAATACTCAAGGACAAGTCAAAAGCCGAAGCTGGATTAATTTTCATTCTGGTGACTAGCTAATACTCTTCAAATTAGTCATAAACATTATTGAAATATGTTTTTAAAAGATTTTCTTTAGGCATTCCAGGACAAATTTTTTAGCTGCTAATAAATTTCACATTATTATTCAAAAAAGAAAGAAAGCTAAACAGATAAATATTTATTCGTTGATTTTTTTTTAAATTGAAAGACTAATTACTTTTGGAAATACTTTGGTAAACTAAATTTTCGCATTTCAGTTTTTACAATTTAGTTAATGTTTACGAATTTCACATTAATTAATAAAAAATATTAAAAAATTAATTTGTATATGGTGAAATAAAATATATATTGCCCTAAATTGTGCTAATCCCAATATTTGAATAAGTATGTATAGGAATTTTGAGTCTAGAACGATTTTTAAGTACCATGATCATAAACCAATAAAATTAACAACGAGTATACTTTCCAATTATTATAAGCAAGTCTTTACTATAAACATATTATTGTCGAATAATAAGAGTATAATATAAGAAAATGCTTTCCCTTTTGTTTTATTTTGTATAATATTTAATGTCTTTTATTAATATTATGTTTTTCTTATGCTATTAACTATTGGAACATTTGGAATACTCCTTTAAAATCCAATAGATTTTCCCTAATGTTACCATTTTTAAGAGAAAGTTGAAGTAGGTTTTTGCTTTATTTTTTTTGTTAAGGGT